GAAGATCGCAAATGTACCCCGTTCAAGGTAATGAAACATAAAACATCCCAGGCTCCCACCGATGTCGCACTTTTAGCAGGCAGCGTGCTCGACAACGAGCTGTTCGACGACGCCATCATGGCAATACGGTCCCCGGGATCTGCCGGCACGGACCGCGTCCTTCTGGGGAACGGCGGCGGCGGCATTTGCGGCGGCGGCAGGCTTCGTATGAAAGAAGTGGAGCAGGGGTCGTCGCGGTATCGTAAGCTGGAGGAGGGGCGGCGTCGGGTTTGGCAGCTCGAGGAGGCTTCCCGTCGGAAGTACTGTAGAGCAGGTAAAAAGGGAGGTAAAGAGCTGGTGGAAAGATAGGAAGGCCCACCGTCGAAGCATGCTGCGAGAGTTCGGCGGGGACAGCTTTGGGGCGATGTGTGCGTGTGTGCTGCGGGAATATGTCGCACTCTTGGCACAGACCATCTTTTCAAGTAGGTCAACTAAATGTAACATACGTGCACCCTCGCATTTTGTAATGAGATGTTCGGTTATGGATTATCATCATTTCCCAACAAATGTATATTTTGTCGCTTTTTTCATCGCGTCTTGCCCTCCACCCTGTCCAATTGTGCCCTAACCCTAGGAAGAATACAAAGGAGAGGTCACAAAAGCGCAGCAGTCCGTCTCCCGTCTCCCTTCGGATGATGTATGTGTGGCCCTGAACGGCGAAACGTTCGGCGTCGAGAACGCGACCTCGACGGTAGGGTTTGGAGCAGCGGGAGCAGGAGCAGGATATCAAACACGCGCAGATCGGCTGGGGGCCAGGTCGGCAAGGTGAGAGATTGGTACCGCCCCTGGGTGGTATATTCCAGGACGCGCCCGTCTGTCCCAGATTGGACGAGGCTTGGACTGAAATCGTGGACATCTATGATCCACAAGACCAACATGTGTTTGTTCGGTTCCTACGATGTCTCAGTATTTTTTTATTGTGGTTTACAGGACGACCACATCATTTTCTTTGTGACATAGAGACTCCTCATGTTGTGGATAGTCCCACTGGGAACTATGTACTGAACGTCGATTGCTGTCGCTTCATGCAGATGCAAAGGAGATATATATATATAGATATACGTCCATTCTGAGAGAGAGAGACTGTAGAGGCACGGAGCATTTCATGAGACTCTTCTTTCCCGCTGTATGTCTGGGACTGGTTAGTCTAAGCTTAGAGTATTGCGCTGGCGCTGCTGCGCAGTCGGCGTCATCCCGTAGACTTTTGTAGAGTACTCTCCAAAAGAAATCCGAAAACATTCGAGCTCTACTATCACCTCCTCGCCGGTTGGGCGTCGTGCAAGTCCATGGTGACTGCCGCACGTTTGGTGGAAATCGCGGAGACATGCGGTGACTTAAACTGAGTGTTGCCCCTAAACCGACGCCCCCCCCTGGACACGCACGAAGTATTTCGTCTGTACCACATATGTCGTTCATTCATCGTCTCACCTACGGATCTCCACCTATTTCAGTTCCGTGAAACAAACCCTCGTTGATCCTGTGTGCACGTGCCACCACGCGATGCTATAATAACACCAACAGCAAACCTCAGGTGTAGGGCGTGCTGGACAAGCATTGGAGTGCGCAGGCCTGCCTGGACCCACTCGCGGCGTATACTCGCGCGGTGCACGGACATTCGCCGCCTCCAACCGACCTTCTTTGCGCTCGCTCGGCAAAAATATCACTGCCGCTGCCGGTTCCGCCGGTGTCGGCGTCTCCTGCGAGTCTTCTCCGCCCGGAGGGGAGGACGGGGGTTCAAAGTCGGCCACCGGCAATCGGGGTGGGGTGGAGAAAATGGACGGTTATCAAGGGAATGTGTAGCTTGTGCGCGGGGAGTGTTTGCCTAGCTGCTGTACGGTAGCTTCGCGAGGCTGTCGTCGGGCAAGCGGTAGAGGCAAGAGAGCGGCGCGGGAGGGGTTGGGTAGTGTCGCGTTGGACCAACGTTGTACGACTATGTACTTTGTACTATCTATGGGCGGGCGCGCAAGGCTGCACTCTTTGAGCTTGTGCGTACATAGTCCCGGGTCCGAGATTGGCCTTGCTAGATGTATATTTCAAGTTCCATGAAGTATTGATATCGTGCTGTTGGGATGTGTGAGTGTCTTGGTGGTAGGCGGTAGTTATTCGCGCCCTGTCGCTGGAGCAGAGAGGAGTTGTCTTGGGCTTGCCATACCCGTCACCCCCTGTTGTTCGTTGATTTTCGTTTTTTGCGATGCCCCAGTGTTCGTTCCAGTCCAGGGCTTCTAGTCAAACAACAAGAAGCAAAGACGTGGGTTTAACGTGTGGTTTAGCTGCGTTCGAGTTGGTCAGTGATTCAGGCGACGACAAACGGTATGAAAAGATTGGTGCTGACACGCACACTCACGTAGAAACCCATACGGTTCAGTCAAGTAAAAAATTATCACACTCAGTCTTTGTCAAACCGTAAAATACTGGCCCCGCGAAACGAGCAACAGTGGTTCCCACCCACGACATGAACCGGGTCTAACAGCTTTTGAGGCTAGACGTAGGTCAACCTTCCGCGTGTCAGTACCGCGGGAATGGTCAGTACCTCGATTATCTGGCTAGCAGTCAAGTTCGTTAGTTCGGATGGGTTGTTGTATTCGATTACTTCGAGGAAGGGCGCCCACCCACATGTTTATGTTACTTCGATTGGTGGAGTCAGCGTTTGGCACACCACTTCCAATGTGCGGCGACGAGAGGGCCGGAATTGAAGGAAGGCGAGGGGGTTTGGCTAGTTGGTAATGTCTCTATTCCCAAAAGCCTTAAGTCCACTTTTTATGTCCCGCAGTCGCTTTTTATTCGCATAGCCCACAGCCTTGCCCGAGCTGCCGTCTGAAAAGCGGTTCTCAGCCCACATTGCGAACCCCCGAGCCCTACCAGCAGTTCCGTTCTTTGAGACGATTTAAATAGTCTTGTTGATTGGGCAACTATCGCTTGCTGTGGCGCGATAGCCGGGTTCTTTGTCAATCGATAGGGTTGGAGCAGGTTGACTTGTTGTGTAGGATCCGTTCGGCTACCTGTGTGGACCTTGCGGGCAAATAAAACGTTGTGCTGCATCAAGTCAATGAAATGATGGCCGTCTGTGGCACACAACAACCCATCGCACACAGACTCTGAGTATACTACCGTTCTCGCTATGCGAGGTAGGCATTGTACAGGGATTAAGACAAGAAGGGGACCAAAAGGAGAACGGGTAAGTATGATACTCACGGTGTGGAGTTCCGCTTTCGTGTTTCATGTTTGTTTTCGTGTTCATCCACCGCGGAAAGTTCGATACTGAACATAAATGTCATGTGTCTCCTATATTTGGCCGTCGGCGCGGACCACTACAGTTGACTCACCAGACAACTACTTCTGTGTGCACCATTTGCCCACGTCCGGCTACCGCTGACTCATATCCTTGACTGCACCACTGATGGCCAAAAACGCCAATACAAGAGGTATCACCCACGGAGCCGCAAACCCACCTCGTTCATTATGAAACCACGCAGGTGTAAAAACGCAATCGCATTTTCACCTGCCGATTCTCAATCTCCATCTGTAGACTATGCGGACAAGGGATGGTGTTTCCTTAGAGTGACGACACACAGCTCTGACAACTCAGGAAACACGGTGTCACCGACCCACCACGATGATCCGGTGCATCTAACTACCGCCACACCACATGTGGGACCAGCAGGCATTGAAAGTGGACCTAGGGTTGCTTGTGGTTAGGGACTAGGGTAACAGCAGAACAGCAGGAATGATAGGCGGTTCGTTGGAGAGACTGTTGTGTGCTGTGCTATTAGTCAAAGTGGCAAGCACCGTTGCCTCCATGCGAGGTACTGCTGTACTGTTTACAGAAGCCTCGCCCGGCACGACAGCCTCTCTCGCCGAGGTACGTTCCCCCGCTTCTCTTTCAAAGAAACCAATCAACAAACGGCCACCGCGGTACCTGCTGTGTGTACAGCAGCCTGCTTGCGTAGCCGTTGGCCTTTCGCACGATGATGAGCATATCCGATGAGATACGGCGGGGGTGGGCCGTGAAAAAAAAGAGAGGTACATACAGCAGTAGACATGTCAAGATGCCTACTGAAGAGATAGATCATGGAGGCAATGAGCCACACCCAAAAGGAGGCAATGAGGTACAGTAACACCCATCCACGTGCCCACGTGTAGCGCAAGAGGGTCGGCCGAAGCTGGCTCAGGTGTTACGCGTGTCGCACCGTCGGGAAACGATCGATGATTCCGATGCTGGTGCGTGGAGCGGTCATCGTCTTCCTTCGACCACAAACAATCGCGCCCAATGTTTTCTCGCGCCCTACACCACAGTCCCTAACAAACAGAGGGCAACTGCAAACGGGCGAGATGAGCGAACGTGGGGAATGGCTTCGCGGCCACTTTGCGTTTGGAGTGTTGAGCCACGTCTTACAGATTTTTCGGAAGAGAAATGGTTGCCGTATACGTGAGAGGGAGGGATAAAAATGGTCTCCCCGGTCCGTTTGAAACCGGCCTGACAGTTTATTATACAGGCTCGATTGAAAAATTGAAGTTCCCGTGTAACTCGAAGGAACGGAAATCGTCCTCGGAGGGGACATTCACACGGGAACATTTCGCAATGCACGGGAGCCTAAAGGCTACCGGTTGTGAATCTCCACTGCGGCAGTCACCGCGACGAGTATCGTCGGAGCTGCCCGTCTGGAGTCGTGTTTTATTTTACGGAGAGCCGAGGGCGGAATTGCACGGGAGCCCATAAGCTATCCGCTGTGTGTATTTTCATTGATGTTCGTGTACAATACGGTCGTACGCTTGTGTTGGCCTGTGAGCGATCTTTCGTCTCGTCTAGCCCCGTTGGCTAGGCAAGGCCGCACAACAGGTAAATAGGAGACAACGGCCAAACCACATCAAGCATTGATAGCACTGCTGCCAGAGGCTTGCCGATACCAAGAAGAGCGTAATCAACTATCCATGTGTGTGTTTGAACTCAATCGACAACTAGCCAGTATAGGGCGAGGTACCCTCACATCTTAAGAGGAAAGAAATTTGCTACGACAGGTCCAAGCCGTACGGGACACTTTGCAACGACGGTGACAACCTTGAAACCCCACGAAAAATGTGATCACTCCTTCACGACACACACAAAATACGCCGCCGCAACCAGTCCGTATCTACATAAAAAAAACATGCACGAGAACATTCTTGTCTAACACCAAGAAGCGCAGGTTGATCGCCAGCCCCACGTACAACTTCCAAACATGAACTTGGGGCGATCGATTTCGACACACATTTCTCCGCAACGGTGATTTGTTGTGCGACGTTCACCAGGGCTTTTCTTATAATGGCCGCAGTCGCGACACACATATAGGAGAACGGGCCCGAAAAGTAAGCGATATTTTTCAAGTATAATTCGACGAAGACGCAGAAGCTCAAATTGTCAAGAACGCACCATTAGGCTACAAGAAACTCAGCTCCGCGCGGGATCCTGCACTAAACTCTACCAGGTATACATCACCCTGCGCACGACGATGGCGACGAAACAAGGAATTGAACATCAAACCAAGTTTGACATTCTTCTTTATTTGCGGGCCCGTTCTGTAGGCTAGACTACGGCAACACTTCTGACTCGGCAGCGCTTGAATGTTCCCCCCACAGAATCTAGCAGCGCTCCTACGCCCTCTGAACGACACGCAGCCTCTACCCCTGCTGCTGTTTTCCGGACAACTACTGTACACGTGTTGCCGAACGGAAAGTTAACGGCAGCGCACCCCAATGGTAAACACACCCAAACCTGACCACTGTATTCTAGACCGTCCGGAATCAGCCGAGTTGCCGCATGAATCAAACTCCGACGGACTGTTGTTTCCAGAATCGGGCACGACTGAAAGCGCCCCCGAGAGCTCTCTCAGTCAGCGGGCCGTTGGTGGCCTTCGTGCCTCGGTCAATAAAAGTCCAAGTAGTAAGTACACTTGCCGAATATTCATTGTTCTCTTTATGGATTTGTCTCCTGCTCTCCAGTACACGAAATAGCAAATTCAGCAAAGTCCACACCCATCCCACTTGAGAATCATTCTTCCTGCCGCACGGAACGCGCGACATTGTGGACACGCCGCAAACTTACCAGGCACTTGTTTTCCGACGGACCTCGAACCTTGTGCACGTGTGCGCCGGACGTCCCAAGAGTACCAAATCGGACCCAGTCGGACAGATATAATGACACCAAAACCTACGCCAGCACTCGGGGCCAACTTTCGTTCCAGGTAAGGCCAACACGGCCTGACTTGCCGAATTTTTCCAGCTCTCCGTGCAGCCCCGCAAATGTACGCGCGGGTGAATTGGCCGACAGAATTACGATCAACATCACCAACCCCCCGTTCCCTTCCCGCCCGAAGACCCCCGCAAGGCAGCGTACGAAGACGGCACGCCCGACACACACCCCACCGCGCCGCTCTTGTGCGTGTAGGCGACGAGTAAAGGAACAACCACAACGACCACAAACAACAGAGCCATGTTACCCGACAAAAAAGTACGCAAAATGACACGGTCTGACACTACAACACACTATTTGGTTTCATCACGTGTACAGTCAATCTATTGTGGACTGTCTGGTATCACCGCTTTAAGACATGTGGGGCAACGGTTGCGCATAAGCAACCACTTGCGGATGCACGCACCGTGGAAGGCGTGGAGGCAGGGGAGCACAGAGATCTGTCCCCGGCCAGCAAAAACATGGAGGTGCGGATTTCATGCGCATTTCCGACAACCGGGAGCATCGCCAAATCCAGGGTTCCCAGACGCCGCGCGACCCGGTGACAGCCAAGAGCATCGGCCAGCGGCAATAGACCAGGGGCGGCCGAGGCAGCAGCAGCGACGACAGTAGCATGGGCAGCGGACGGGTATGGCACGGAAGGATGCGGGTGGGTTGGTACAGGCTGCAAGAAGGGCGCACGTGGACACCACAGCACGCTCGAGTACTAGCCGCCACACAACGGGTCGGCACGCACACGCAACTGCACGATCACGTCATACGTGCTCGCCGTCAGACTTGATGGGCGCGCGGAAACCGTGCGGCTGTTGTAGTAGTACAGACCGTGATGGCCCCCCTACCCAACAGGTGCGAGAACCATTGCACACTCGCTAGACCGCGACCGTAAGAGCTCAAGTTCTCCACAACCAGGAATAAGTGTCGAAAGGGGTCATCTCGTAAGCTTCGCCCCAAATCAGGAGGTTTCCGCACTCCCTCGGCCCGGGAAAATCGATCTTGGAAACATCGGTCTTGGCGTGAGCTCGCACAACGACTACACGCATCTTCGCGGAATACAAACGGGTCGCGACCGCGTGTTTAGCGACATGCCTTGCATGGCGACCATATTCCCTCCTGACACTAGGGGTCACTAAATCGGGCCAGCCTCTGTGAGGCTCTTTCGAGTTCGTTCCATCTTTCTGCTTTTGGCCTTGCCGAAATAAAGCAAAAGGCTAATGGTGTCACGGACAGTGCAGAGTCCCAACAGAGGTAACAAAAAAGATGCGTGTGTCGGAAATACACGACTGGACCAATGAATACCCTACAATGAGCAGACCTAATTCCTGGACTTGATGAGAACAAACGCATATTCGGCACGTAAATTTGTCGCATCACACCACCACGAGACTGATGGAGACCACGCACGCCGAGCAAATGCACGCGCGTCTCTCACACACACACCAACACCCCTCATGGCGTCCCAGATCATATAAATAGCCTTCACAAGCGTCTGTAGCGCGGTCAATGCTAGTCAAAACTCAACACGCGCGCGCGCGATTGCGCTCCCATTGACGCCTTCTCACGGGGTCCCAGATCATGGCCATAAATACAAGCATGATGAGCTTTCAACCGCACTAAGACGCAAGTCTTTTCATTGTTCACCAGGTTACCGCAGTAGACAGTGCCAACCACAACAAAAACACAAAAAACACGCCCGCAGAAGACACGCACCTCGTCGCCGAGCCCGAACTCCTCCATGCAGACCGCACAGCTCTCTTCCAGCCTTGCCCCGGCCGCCTTCCCGGTCTGCAGCACCGCCTCCATCGCCTCATCCGCGAGACCCTTACCCCCGGCGCAACACCTCCCCCCCTCCCCGCCCGCTTCGTCCAACGCCAGCAGCGTCTCGAAGTCGTTCTCGTCGATATCCTGGAACTGCAGAGCGCGGACGGCGTCGCTGAGGTTGCCCCCCGCCGCCGACGCTACCGCCGGGTGGTTGCTGTCGGGGCTGATGTACCCCGGGATGGAGTTCCTCCGCGCGGAGGAGGCGTTGCTGCGGCGTTGGACGCGGCGGCGGGACGCCCGCCGCTCGGCGCCGGCCTCCTCTCGGGCGGCCAGGCGCAGAGCTAGGAGCTCGTCCTCTCTGGCCTGGGCCTCCTGTTCCTGCTTCGCGAACCGTCGCGCGGCGGCCTGCGGGGGAGGGGGGGCGTACTGATGTTTTGCATGCCTTAGACGATTGACCACGCGTCCTCGAGATTCATGGCCGTGTGCGCTACTTGGCAAGTTTGCAAGAAGACCCAGGCAACAAAGGCGCCCGTGGGAAGCCAGCCCGTGGGGGATAATGTTCATGGTTGATCGGATGGAGTACTTGGAAGGAGGGCGGTGATGTTCCGGTGCACTAACGCGGATTCAGCAAAAACGCTGCCGAAGTTGCCGGAAGTTGGTACTCGACGGGAGATCCATGAAATGGAGAACGAGGGATTACCAAGCAAAAAACACTTCCGTGCACGTCAGCTCACGCACATATCTACCACCACGACCGAGCATCCAGAGGCGTCGAGTGGCAACGCCTACGCAACCTGCACCACCGCGCAAGCATGCAAACACACGCCCTTCGCTTGTCCCACCTCGTCCTCGTCAATGCCCTGGGACGGTTCCGCCAACGCCGCCGCCGCTGCGCTCGCCTCTCTCGGCCGAAACACCTGCGATGACACCGATGACAGCAACCAGCCGTCCCCCCGAGATCGTCCATCGCTCTCCACTGGCGTAGAGGGACAGTCCCACCGACCCGGCCCTCTTCCTCCCCTCTCGGGCCCAGCGGGAGGCGTAAAGCCGATCATGCCTCGCCTTCGGGCCACGGCGCGAGGGGCGCTGAGGCTCCTGGGGGGGGAGCGGGACCCGGTCAGGGTGGGTCTCTCACCGAGGATAGCGCGATAGCTGGCCTCGTCGAAGAGCGCGTTCGCCAGCCGCTCCTCGTCGAGCGGGGAGGATCCGTTCGCGGCGGGCACGTTGCCAAGGATAGCGCGATAACTGGCCTCGTCGAAGAGAGCGTTAACCAGCTTCTCCTCTTCGGCGTCTGGCGGGCCGCCCCTGTTGCGAACCGCCGCCGCCGCCGCCGCCGCCGCCGAGGCGGACCTCCGGCGCCCTTCGCTCGAGCCCGAGCCCGAGCCCGAGCCCGAGCCCGAGCCCGAGCCCGAGCCCGAGCCCGAGCCCGAGCCCGAGCCCGCCGCCACGAGCCGGCGTCGTACGTCTAGCGCCGTCCGGCCCGCGGAGCGCAGGCGCTCGGGGCTCGCGAGGCGGGCGGAGACCAAGCTGCCGGACGGCGACCGATGGCCGCTTGCAACCCGCCTGCTGGAACCCACCGTCGCCGCCGCCGCCGCCGCCGCCGCCGCCCCACGTGCCGTGGTCGAGGGCCTTCCGAACGCGCCTGCTGCTTCCTGCGCAGCTGCGTGGCTGCTTGCGCCTTCCCCCGATTTGTCCGCCAGCCAGTCGCCGCTGGCTGCACCATCAAGCCACGTCGCTGATGTCGGCGGCCTGTCGCGCCTCGAACCCTCCACGCTCGAAGTCGCGGGCTGCTGCTGCCGCCGCCGTTGCCGCTCCACCGGCGAAGGCTTCCCGCTTCCGAACTGAAAGGTCGCCGCGTCCTGCCGCCGTGCGGCAGAAGATGCCGCGCTCGCCCCTCCTCCGCCCGCTTTTCCGTAGCCTTCGACACCTTCTGCCCCCCCGGCTCCAGCACCTGACATCGACACTCGCAATGACGCCGCAGCCCTCCTCTTCCTGTCCTCCGCTGCCGCAGCAACGTCGCTCCGAGTCACCGGGGCTAGCCCCAGCGACACCGCCATCTCCGTTGCGGTCGCCTTCGGCGGAGCCGCCCCCCACGCGGCCACCGCCGCCGATCGCGCCCCACCAACCCGCGTCCCCCGCTCCACTCCGCTGTTCCGGCCCGCCCGCCACAGCCCTCCGACGCCCGCCGCCGCCGCCGCTTGGGAACGGCAGCTCCTCACGGACCCGCTGCCGCCCCGATGGATACCCTGGTTGCGGTACACGCCTCCGCCGCTAATACTCTTGCGACCACTCCCCGCGCTTCCGGCGGCTCCTCCCTCTCCTCCTCCCGTTGCTGCTCCCGCTCCCGCTCCCGCTCCCACTTGCGCTCCCGCTGCCGCTCCCGCTGCCGCTCCCGCTGCCGCTCCCGCTGCCGCCGCTACCGGCCTCCCGGCATCGCGGGTTTCGATTCGTTCGGGACTACCAGTCCAATTTCCGAGAGGGGTTGCCAGGGAAGACGGCTGTCTCTCCGTTCGTGATTCCGCGGGGGCCCCACCGTCGCCATCGCCGGCAGCACCGGCGACGTCAGCGGCGCCTCCGCTACCGCTTGTCACGGGCGCGGAGGAGTGCGGCGGGAACCCCGAGAGCGCGCTGATGACTAGAGTTAGGGCCGACGCCGTCACCGCGTTGGCCCTGTCGCAGGACTGGACCGTGTCGAGCACCTTGGAGTGGTAACCGGTCTCAGCGCTAAAGGGGTCGTTCAGCTGTGCCTAGGGGGCGGGCGCCGGATGGGGGGGGGGGGGGGGGGGGGGGGGGGAACCAAAACCCCCGGGGCGCCCCGGAATTTTTTAACATTTACCCCCCCCCCCCCAAAAAGGGGGG